GAATGACCCCAGGGTTTTTGGTCTTAGCAGCTGTAGCATTGGAAGCTGCATCAACTGTGATGAGCAAGTTGCTGTTAGCTATAAATATTCACTGAGGATATCAGGAGGTTTGTTCTGGCCATTGTTAGTAGAAAAACTCCAAACTGTTTTTCCTCTGCTCTCCTCCCAGAACAGCCAACACAGAATAATTCTGTGACCAGATAGATGTGTGTGGAGGGTCTTCCCCACACACCAATTAGTTCTACAGAGGACACCAGGTGGGCATCCTTCAATTCGACTCCAGCTTGATCTACAGGTTGAGGGCTCAGTCCCACGAGACTGCCCCCCAACGTCTGGTACCAATGACAAGCTCCAGGACGTTTTGCCTGTGCTTCTGATTGATCTGCTATAGATCTATTTCCAATGACCCCTTCCTTAAGTTCCATTAATTTGCTGGAGCCAGTCACAGAACTTAGGAAGTCACTTATGTTTACTGGTTTATTATAAGGGATATTAGAAATGATAAAGAAGAAGAGCTGCATAGTGCAAGGCATAGGGGGAAGGGGCACAGAGCTTCCATACCCCACCTGGTTGTACCACTCTCCTGGAAGCTCCCTGAACTCTGTCCTTTTGGGTTTTTTCTGGAAGCTTCACTATATAGGCATGATTGATTAATCATTCACCATTGCTGATAAGCGTGATCTCCATTTCCCTTTCTTGAGATTTGGGTGTTAGGATGAGCTTCCCAGACGTCTGATCCTACCTTAGTCTTTTCCAAGACCAGCCCTCATCCTGAATTTACACCAGGGACTGCCAGCCACCAGCGAGTCATTAGCATACACGAAGACATCGGTTATGAGATTTCAGGGATTTTAGTTGCATGCCACAAAAGGGGACAAAGACCAAATATATGTTTCATAATATCATAGCTTCCTTCCTAAGAATGTGAGATGTTGGCTGGGCGCGGTGGCTCATGCCTGTAATCCTAGCTCTCCGGGGGGCCGAGGTGGGTGGATTGTTTGAGCTCAGGAGTTCGAAACCACCCTGAGCAAGAGCGAGATACCGTCTCTACTAAAAATTGAAAGAATTTAATTGGACAACTAAAAATATATATAGAAAAAATTAGCCAGGCATGGTTGTGTATGCCTGTAGTCCCAGCTACTCAGGAGGCTGAGGCATGAGGATCTCTTGAGCCCAGGGGTTTGAGGTTGCTGTGAGCAAGGATGACACCACGGCACTCTAGCCTGGGCAACACAGTGAGACTCTGTCTCAAAAAAAAAGAATGTGAGATGTTTTAGAAGCCCCTAAGTCGAAGTATCTAATAGGCATCTGGACACATAGCTGGGATATCTGGGGAAGGGTTGATAATGGAGACATCCAGTATATGGTAGCTATTGTGTGGACCAAGGTTAGTGAGCCATGGGTCGCATTTAGGAGGGTCAGTCTTTAGATTATAGTAGTCAGGCTATTAGGGGAACAACAAGGAGAAGTTGGGGCTCTTGCTTGGGTTCCTGGGTGATGGTATTGAGCTCCAGAGACACAGGTGAGGGATGTAAGTGGCCTTAAAAGAAAGATACGTCAGACAGCATAGTTTGGCAGGGGACATAGGATTTTAGGGAGAGAATAGATATGAGAGGGATGCAGAAGCATAGAAGTAATTGAAGGAAGGTGACACTTAGATTGGAGCTGGTGCTTTTTCACCACTTTGTGGATTTACCAAGATTCTGTGACAACTTCAGGGGGGTCTGAGGTGTTTTATTCACCCCAGTGGCTTAGGTCAAAGACATATATGGTTATCTGTGACAATCCATCAGCCTGGGGTGTGTGACCAATGGGTCTGGGCTTTGAATGGTATCACTTGGACATTGGAAAGTCATAATTTCTGAGGGAATAGGAAATGCAGCACAGAAACGGGATGGGGCTGTGGATATCTGAAACCTCATGCGGTTCTGTGTGGCTATGGATTCATGCACCGAGGCCTTCATAGAATGATTTGGGGCTGCCACTGGTACTGGGAACCTTTGGAATTCTGTGGCAATTTTGGATTCTGTTTGAATTTGCCAAGCATACTGTAGGTGATGTCAGACACATTGTGGTGTAAGGCCAAAAATGAAGGCACAATATGATGTGCCACATTGACACCTGGTGATGCGTCGTGACCTGTAATGGCCTGATTACAAATCCCCTCCCCACTCTGTTCTCTTGGTTAAGGTATCCTAGCCCAACACACCTTTTATCAAGGGGTCCAGGCAGACTTTCTGATTATTATTCGTTTGTAGTGGGTTTCAATTTCATTCCTACCCGCAGTTTTTCAAGCAAGCCAATTGCATCCTCCCAAATGAATCAGGGACCATCACACTCTCTTTATCCTACATAGCTTGCATCTATTGCTCCCTGGTTGCTCACTGATATCCATAGTGTAGCCTCCATATACTCTTGTGTGGTGAGTGTTGTCCTGTGTCTCTCAGGCTGTCAGTATATTTGATTAATTAGCTGATGTTGATGATATCTTTCCAATGTCAGAAGTCATGTGTTTTGCCATCACTGTAACCCAGGGTTAGAATACTACCCTTATCAGTAGAAGGAGAAGTAGAGGATGCCACCCAGAGGCTAATTAGGGGGGTTAGTTAGTTAGGAATGGCCATCGACATGTGTCTGTGGTGTCCAAAGATGGCTGGGACATGCATGTAGAGTGGGAGTTTGTCTCATGGCCCTAAGGCACTCCATTGGGATGATGTGACTTTCTCTGTGCCACAGTAATTGCTGGTAAAGAGAGTGTGGATCTCTTTATGTCAGGGCTACAGGTTAGATACCTGTTTGTGCACCTGCCTCTTGTCGCTGATGGTCGTACACTATGATCAGTGGGCCCCTGAGGACAGAGTGTCAGCAATGGGAAAGTTTCTCCTCTAAGTTGGGTACCCTGGGAGGAGGTTGGGGAAGGGTAGGTATGTGGGGGAAATGGATTGTGGGTCCTAAGCAGGGGCTGTTTGTGGTTTCATCTGTCCCCATCGTAACAGAGCAGTGTGACCTTTGAAGACGTGTCTGTGAACTTTTCCTGGGAGGAATGGAGTCTTCTTAATGAGGCTCAGAGATGCCTGTATCGTGACGTGATGCTGGAGAACTTGACACTCATAACGTCCCTGGGTAAGGCCCTTACACTTATCCCTGTCACCTGAGGTAGTCTCTGCCCTTCCCCTTTTTCCCCATTGGCAAGACTTTCTCACTTCAGGAGTGTGGACACAACTTCGTTCTTCACTTCTCTAGATACGGTCTGTGGTTGTTAGGACTGGGTGTGGGTTGTGCCATTTCATCTCCTAAAGCAGGCCCAACACCCGCTTTTCTCCAGACTCCCAGGGAAGGATTCAGGGTCAGGGTCTTGCAGTTACCCTAATACATCCCATGTTGTTTGCCTTCTGGATGTCTGGGTGACTGCAGATCCAAGGCTCCTGTCTGTGCTGTTCTTGTTCCCTCCTTTCTCTACATTTGTTCGTGTCTGCCTATGCGAGGAATTCCTGTCACGGACATGGTCACTACTTACATGGACCACAGCCTATCGTGCAACACTTTCCGTCAAAATTCTTTTTGTTGTATTTTTCTGGGTGAAGTGGCATGTGCCTGTAGTCCCAGCTACTCAGAGGCTGACGTGGGAGGATCCCTTGAGCCCAAGGGTTCTAGGGCAGCCCAGGCAACACAGTGAGATCTCATCTCTACAAATAAGTAAATATATAGGTCCAGGCATGGTGGCTTACACCCATAATTCTAGCACTTTGGGAGGCTGAGGCAGGAGAATGGCTTCAGGTCAGGAGTTTGATGGAGACCAGCGTGAGGAAGAGCGAGACCCTGTCTCTACAAAAAATAGAAAAATTAGCCAGGCATAGTGAAGTGCACACCTGTAGTCCAACCGGATTGGGAGGCTGAGACAGGAGGATTGTTTGAGCCCAGGAGTTTGAGGTTGCAGTGAGCTATGGTGATGCCACCGCACTCTAGCCCAAGCGACACAGTGAGAACCTGTCTGAAAAAAAGAAAAAAAGAAAGAATTTCTTATAGTATTTATTTTCCTTTCCTGTGGGATATCAAGTGCTAGATTTTTCTAAGTCAATGTTGGCTTTTCATCTGTCCTGTCTTTCTCTTACTACTTACATCATCCAGGTCCTATGTATGCATTCGTGGTGGTGATCAAATGGAGAGCCCTTGGTTGTCTTTAAGATACAAAGGAATCTAGCTTCAGCAAGATGTGCTTAGAGGTAGCCTGATTCTGAGGACTGGGATGTAAATAAGGGCATGATGTCAAGGCTTTCGTTTATATCATGCCACAAACCTTTTCTGTTTGATTAGTATTTTGGAGCTGGTACAGGTAGCCACATATTTATTCTGTCTTCCCCATTCTTGAGAGTTTGCCAATTTGTTGTTCCTACACCTTGTGACTTCTGCTGTTATATCCGGCCGAGGAGTAAGCTTCACATCTCTAACCTTCACATCTCACCTATTGTTCTCACTGCTGCATCTGCAGTGGTCTTCCATATTGGCTCACACATTTTGTATTAGGAAGCATGTAACCATTCTTAAACAGTCCCTGACAAAAGACTGTTGTGTTGTAGTCGTATTTTCTTAGGTGTGTACATATTCTTCTAAATAGTACTCGTGTGTCCTCAACAGATAAGGTCCTGCAGACAAGTTGTTTGCAGAGGAAGGAGTTACAAACCCTGCCTTTACTCTGTTGCATAGTATGGTCGTGCCCTTCACACCATGAGGCCACTGCCTACATTCTGTGATAACTGCTGAACAGGCCCACCCTCATCCTGAACCCAATTTCCTGTGCTTCCAAATCCCAGGAACTAGTTTTTTGGTTTGTCGGATTTATTTGTGGATGGACTGCGCACTCTCATGACTGTCAACATGCACTTCACCAGTATTTCCTTGCTTTTAGGTTGTTGGCATGGAGGGGAAGATGAGGCGGCACCCTCTAAGCAGAACAGTTGTATGCACGTATACAAAGACCAGAGAATTCCCGGTGGAGAACTGCCTTATGTCCTCGGGGAATGTGGGAAATTATTTAAGACCAAGTCCCATCTGACTGAACACAGAAGAGTTCACACTGTAGAAAGACATTATGAGTGTAGTGAATGTGAGAAATCCTTTGCTCAAACTTGTAGTCTTTTTAAACACAGGAGAGTTCACTCTGGTGAAAGGCCTTATGAGTGCAACGAATGTGGCAAAACCTTTGCTGAAAACACCAGTCTCATTAATCACAGGAGAGTTCACACTGTAGCAAAGCCTTATGAATGCAGTGAATGTGGGAAGTTCTTTGCTTATATCTCTAGTCTCATTAAACATAAGAGAGTTCACACTGGAGAAAGGCCTTATGAGTGCAGTGAATGTGGCAAAACCTTTGCTGAAAAGTCTGGTCTCATGAGGCACAGGAAAGTTCACACTGGAGCAAAGCCTTATGAGTGCAGTGAATGTGGAAAAACCTTTGCTGAAAACTTCAGTCTCATTAAACACAGGAGAGTTCACACTGGAGAAAGGCCTTATCAGTGCAGTGAATGTGGAAAAACCTTTGCTGAAAACT